GGGCAGGGATATCCCTATTCAGACTGAAGCTCCTTAAGGACAGAGCCAAGCTGCCTCTCCCTCTAAGGTTCAGGGACACTGGTAGTCAAGATTATAAGTTACTTAGCATGTCACACACACTGCCTCATGAGACCCTCACAACACCAAGAGGGATATATTTCCCCACTTGACAGAAAACCAAGGCTCACAGAGGAGAAATAATTTGCCTAGGATGCATCTGAAGCCTGGTTGGTCCCTTGGCAAACTTTATTGACTGATTTATAGTCTTGGAACTGGGCATGCAGCAGCGACAGAGAGACAGTCTCAGCTCTCAGGGAGCATATAGTTTTAAAGAGGGAAATAGAAAATCCAGGAAACAGCCCTGGCTGGCGTAGCTCAGTGGATTGAGCCCGGGCTGTGAACCAAAGTGTCGCAGGTTCGATTCCCAGTCAGGGTACATGCCTGGGTTGCAGGCCATAACCCCCAGCAACCGCACATTGATGTTTCTCTCTCTCTCTCACTCTCTCTCTCTCTCTCTCTCTCTCTCTCTCTCTCTCCCTCCCTTCCCTCTCTAAAAATAAATAAATAAAATCTTAAAAAAAAGAGAAAATCCAGGAAACAGACAAATAAAAAGTTCAGCTAGTGATCAAGAAAGTACAAAGGTAATAGGGGCAAGTATGTGGTGTGCTACTCTGGCTGGGGAGGTCAAGGGAGACCACTAAAGAAGTGACAGCATGTCCAGTGGACCCCAGGGGAAGGCTGGCCATGCAAAGGGGACACGGAATACAGAAGCCTTGAGGCTGGGTGGAACTTCCTGCCCAGGGCTAAGCTAGCAAGTATGGATGGAGCTGAGAGTAAGAGGGGTGGGCAGGGATCAGATAAATCCAAATTTGGGGGTAAGCCTTGGGAATGAGGAAATTGGAAGCTATGAAGAAACAGAGGAGGTGAGATGCAGGCAGGGAAGACAGGCAGGAGGCTGTTACACAGGCATCCACTTTAGAGATGTTGGAGCCTAGATAGAGTAGGGGAGAGGAAAGGATGAAATGGACCAAGGGTGTGAGGGAATAGAGAAATGGAGGGTGTGGACCTGAACTGGGGAGGCCAGGGAGGGAGCAGAAATGAAGGGGAGGCAGATTTTGACTCTAAAATTTAAGCACTTTACCACCAACAGATACTTTGTCTTTTTCTTCTTTGTCCCTCGGTGACCAGGACAGTGGTGGATACATTGTAGATATTCTGTCTACATAATATTCATTATGTATTTAATGAATATTTCTTGAGCACCTACCAAATGCTTGGCTCTGTCTTAGGCACCAGGGATATGCCAGTGAACATAGCAAAGTACTTGGCCTCTTGCTGCTTACACTCTGGAAAGAGGATGTGTGTGTGTGTGTGTGTGTGTGTGTTGATAAGGAGGGAGGAAAAAGGGGAAGTAATTTGCTAAGGAGGGGGTTCTTTCAGATGTGGTGGTCACGGTAAGCTTCTCTGATAAGGTGACATCTGAGCCCAAAACTCAAAGGAGTGAGGCGGTGAGTGTTAGATGTGACTACTTGAGGGAATACATTTCAGGCAGAGGAAGTGGCAAGTACAAAGGCCCAGAGGTGGGAGAGTGCTTATTGTCTGACTAATAGAGTTAGTCCTTATTGATTCATTAATCAGTACCTGTGTCCCTACTTTGAAACTCTCTAAGAGCAACACCTGGATCCTTCTCATCAGACAAGAGTAATCCGAGGGGTGCTGTGGGGGCTACTTCCTCCCTTCTTCATGCTATTCCTCTTTTCCTAACCCTGACCCAGCCTAGAAGCAGGAATGGGAGAGGGTCCAGTATTGAATCTGTCATACTGTCTGGAGAAAAGGCAGAGAAAGTCAAGGAACAGGGAAGGTTCTGTGCTGTCACAGGGGCCACCATTCACCCAATGTTGTTTCTGGTTTTAAGCCATGGGGGCCCTACCCTGTCATCCCACCCCCACCTATGCCGCTGCTTGCCCCCCATGGCACTAGGAATCCCCTCCAGACAGTCCTGCTGAGTTACCTGCCTCTCTCACTATCTCCTTAGGGCTTGGCAATACACTGAGGGAGTATTATGGATGCTGCCACATCCCACTCTACCCCAAGCCCTGGGCATCGTGGGGTTACCTAGGGGACTCCGGGATTCCAGAATGCAGGGGGCCAGCCCTGGAGACCAGCTCATAGACTTGAAGCCTCAGCACAAACTCCACCCAGACTCCGAGCTATGTCCTCGGCTTTCTTATGACCATAAAATGACTGGAACTGGACAGTCACTTCCTCCTTATTCGTAAGTCATTTCTGCCTCTTCAGCTATCTTGCTGACATGTTACTCTAACTCCACTGATTCAAGACTTTCTATTCTTAGCAAGAAAGCAAACAGGCAACATATTCCCAACATGCCTGACCACACACAGAAATCTTAGAATGTACAAGAACTTGGAAGTTCTTTCTGATTTTAATTCCAGGCACCCCCCTCCTGGTCACATGAAATGCTGTGGGACCCAGTAACCCAGAAGGTCCCTTCCACAGAGCATTCTAGGACTCTATAAAGGGACACCCCTAGGGCCAGGTCCCTCATTCCTGTGTCAGCCCCTTCTCTGAAGTCCAGGGTTGTAGAAGGAGGAGTACCTGGCTTCTGCAACCCTTGCTTGCAGATAAGGCAGGTGGGGCCATGGAGGGAAGGCATCCAGCAGAGACGGGCTGGGCCTGGCTAGCTAGCTAGCTCCCTTTTGCCTTAGCTCTGGGATTCTCAAAGAAGGGCCCCCTGATGGAGAGCAGGTTCTTGTTAGAAATACATCAGGTGGTGCCCTACCCCAGGTCTACTAGGTCAGAAATTCTGGGGTGGGGTCCAGCAGTCTGTGTTTTAAAAAGCCCTTCGGGTGATTCTCACATAAAATTGCGGCAAGAACCCAGACCCAGACTGGTTCTGACTGTTAAGTCCAGTCCTGGTTCTCCATTGGCTCAAATGTGGGAGGCCCAGGGGGAGGGGGTAGCATGGCTGTCCTGTGCCTGGGCCCTGAGGACTAGGTTAAAGGATTTTACAAGGTCTCTTTGGCAGTGATGGAATCAGATGCACATTTAACTGGGAAATACACAGATAACTGTAACTTTCCCCCTTTCTCACATGGCTCTTGGGAGAAAAGCAGAGTTGTTTTGAATACTCGGGTAAGGTCAGAGGGAAGCTGCCTGCCTGCCCAAATGATCCAAATAATTTTATTTGCCCTGTGTAATTAAGGAGAAAGGGGCTCTTGCTTTACCTTAAGCAGGATGCCCCCTTCTTACCACCACTCACTTCCCTACAAACTGAGATGGGAGGGGAGGGTCTTAATTGGAAATTGCTGCCCTTGGGCCCTCCTGTTCCCCCACCCCCCATCCGTTTCTGGTGTGGAGACTGTATACTGCCTCCTTGAGAACGCAGGCCCCATCAGAAGTGAGGAAGAACAATGTCTTTTTTTTTGTCATATTTGCCCTTTTGATGGTCGTTTAGGAGGCCAGGAGTAGAGCAGGTCTGTACATCCGCTTTTCGAGGGAGCAAAAACTGAAGCAAAAAAGATTGCCCCAAAGGTTCCATGCCATTCACATTAACTGGGGGCCTCGCCAAGACCCCGACCTTTCATAAATATTATTTCGTTATTAATTGTGACTCAGAGAGGTTAATCAAGCAGCCCAAGGTCACCCAGCGCGTGGTGCAAGCAGTAGAGCCCAGACTCGTGTCTCCTCTCTCTACACTCTGCCGCCTCCAGATGCTCAAGCTGGGGCTGGAACCCGGGCCCTTCCACCGGCGCCATCCAGCCCTCGAGGAATCTGCCCGGGGGCAGACGTCGACTCGAAGGTTCAAAAGCTGCAAAGTGACTCCCGGCCCGAAGTCAGCGGGGTCAGCCCTCCCCCTACCGCCAGTCCTCTTCCCTCAGGCCCGGGTGAGTCGGGGCTGGGGCTGGGGCTGGGGCTGGGGCCGGGGGGGTGGGGGGGGGCGGCGGGAGTCCTACCCCTGCGGGCTGAATCCTCGCACCTTCCCCGCCCCCGCCCCCGGCTTTCCACCCAGAGTCCGCCCCTCCTACCCCCTACCCCCGGGGTGGGGGTGGGGGTGGGGGCTCCTCTGGGCTGCAACCTAGGGCAGAGGGCGGCGGTGGGGCTGGCCGGGCTTGCCTCGGGTTAATCGCTCCTCTTTGAAAGCAGCCTACATCCCCGCCCTCCGGCCCGCCCTGCGGCCTCCCAGCTCCGCCCCCGGGGAGAGGTCCCGAGACAGCACTGGCATCCGCAGCCGACGCCGAGCCGCGGCAGGGAGCAGGCGGGAGCAGTGAGGCCCGGGTGCAGCATGACTGCCATCGCGGTGCAGGTAGCCCCGCGGGCCCCAGCGGGCCGGCGTCTGCCCCAACCACGGGGGAGGAAAAGGGCTACGCAGCGCAAACCAGTTCCAGCCACGGGCAGTGGCTGCGAGGGTGGATAGGAGTGGTGCCCCGCGGTGCGGGCCCCCAGCAGCAAGCTGGCGGGGCTCCGAGTACCGTGGGCGGGAAGAGACGGGGGTGGGGGGTGGGGGGGGGGCTTGTCCCCGACAGTGCTGCTGGGGCGCCGTCCACTTCCTGGCTCTGCCAGCCCCCGAGGCTCCCAAACTTCTTTTTCTGCTTCTCGTTGGAGTCACCAAGTGCCCATCGGTTAGGTTCACCAGAGAGGTCCCTCCTTTTTAAAAAGGAGGTGCGCCTGGGGTGAAGCCTGGATAGAATACACTTACAAAGTGAGGATTGCCTCATGCGACCTGAATGCGTCTCTGGAGGAACCACAACATTCTTAGGCGGAGGTTACAAAGACCATCTCTCCTTCCCTAAAATGCGTCTGGGGTTCTGAGACAGGGATGAACTCGCTGGGGCGTGCGGACGCCTCAAATAAAGTGTCTAGTGAGAGGAGCGGCCCGCATCACCCAAGTTTTGTTTTCTTGTTTGGGTGGTGCAAGATGTTTGTATTGCCTGAGAATCCCCCCATTCCTACCCCTTCCCTCGCGAGAGCGGCTGTCTCAAGAGAGGTCAGCAGGTGGCGGGAGCGCTACTTTGAGCGCGCGCGTGCGCGCGTTTACTTGGAGCGGAAGCATCCCAGCAGCTAGTCTTCCCAAGAGTCGCCAACCGCGCTATGCTGACGATTAAAGGTTCCGTGACTTTGAATGCAGGTATTCAGACTCCCACAACTCGGGTAGATAGCTCTGTGCTCATTTTGTAGAAGAGGTAACTGAAATTTGCGCTGTAGAAACCTGTTCACACGGTAGCTAAGCGACAGAATCGAGATGCAAAACCAGGACTTCTTGGCTCCAAATCTTACTCATACTTTCTTTCTTTCCCTGAACACCACCCAGAGACCATCCCCCAAACCCCTTCTAGCTGGGGACGGGAACACGATGTCTCAAGTTCCTCCTTTTTGTTCTGGGGTAGAATCTTGAGTCAACCAGGCAGCCTCCTGGGAATAGGCCTGGGGAAGAAGGGGACGCCAGTGAAGAGGGGAAGACCAGGTTGTGGTCTCTCCCTTTGAGAAGCTAATTGTCCATTAGGAGAGAGAGACTTTTAAACAATGATTAAGAAGAGATTGGGAGGTGAGTGCTAAATTAAGAAGTGCAAAAAGTACAGGAGGAATTGGGGGTGCTTTATATTGGTCTAGGTGGGGCAGGGAAACTGGTAGCAAGAAGACCCAGACAGTGGTGAAGGAAGAGGGGGGAGGGGAGTGGGGAGATGAGGTAAAGCCCAGTAGTTCTTCTCTTAGGAGGACACAGGCTTCCCTGCGGGGGGGGGGGGGTTCTGGCTGTTTAGCGTGCTTAACCAAGATGCCGGGAACTGTTCTAAGCACTTGGAGTGATGACTCATTTCAGCCCCACAAGCACCACAAGAGGTGGGTACTTGTTATCTCCATTTAGGTGAGGAAAGAGAGGATAAGCTAGTTCCTGGGACTGCATGACCAGCACACTGGGGTGAGTCAAGGGATGGTGGCAGTCCAACTCTTTAGGACAGCAGTAGCCAACCTTTTTGGCACCAGGCACCGGTTTCATAGAAGACAAGTTTTCCAGGGGCATCGGCGTGGGTGGGCATTGGTTTTGGGATGATTCAAATGAATTTCATTCAAGCTCATTTGCTGTGCAGCTTGGTTCCTAACAAGCCAGGACTGTACTGCCTACATCCTGGAGGCCGGGGATCCCTGCTAGGATCCCTGCTAATGATGATGAGGGCCTAGGCACAGTGGGTAGTGGGGGCTGGGAGTATGGGGGCTGTGTTGGGGATGGAGAGAATGAGTAGTGAGCAGCTCAAAGTGCCAACTTGGATTTTGAGGGGAGTAGATGGGGTCCTGAGTTATAGAGGAAGATAAAATCTTGGCATGGGACTCAAAGGCCCTGGAGTGTCAAGCGACACTTCTCTGGGTCAGAAGAGATGCATTCAGGCTTACAGATGAAAAAAGGAAAATACTTGTCTTGTTTGCCCCTTTTTAGTGGAGACAGTCAAACCTGTGAGTTGCCCAAGGTCACACAACTGGGGGCTGGCAGGTCAAGGACAGATCTCAACTGCCCTCACCTCCTCTTATCCACTTGACCCCCACTGACCAGGCTTCTGCTAGCTGCCCTCCAGGACAGTACTCCAGGTTCTGGATCACTAGTGCAGGTGCCCAAAAGCCAGGTGGTTAGGAATGAAGACTCCAGTATGCACTATTATTGTTACTGATATTAACAGCTTGGTGATGTGAGCGCTGCTCAGTTGCTAAGCACTTTTATATACCTGATCTGATGTAATGCCTGGGAGTTTTATTGGTGGTCAGAGAGTTCAACAGAGCCTTGCTTTGTAGTGGGAGGGGGAAATGAACTGACATCAGCTGTTTTCTCTTTCTGATCCTGGTGTGATATCGGAGGGCCTAGAGAGTAAAGTCCTGTCTGTGCTCAGGACAGGTGGGGCTGAGAGACGGACAGGACGTGCCTGTTCTCCAGACAGTGTGATGTCTAAGGTCAGAAGGTTTTTGGGTCCTATGTTTTTTGTGACTTGTTCTCTGCATCTGGGCCTCTCCCATGCTAGGTACCTTATCAACCTCTAGGATGTTGTCACTTCGCCAGGCATCTTTATGGCTACTGCTTTTCTGCAAGAGTCACAACAAGGGCCAAAGAGGTTAAGAAATTGCCCAAGGACAAATGCCTTTAATGGCTTGTAGACACAGAGGTTTCAAAGTTTCCTGTTTGTTTCTTAGCAGTAGAGCCATTTTTTTCTAATGCTTTCTTGTACAGACTCCTAGACTCCCACTGTCTCCAGCAGGTAACAGGGACCTGCTGACGTTGGAGTGGGCAAGGGGCCTAGAGCCAGCTTCCCCTGCCTGCTGCCCTGCCTCAGCACCTGGAAGTCCCTGTAGGAAACAAAGGGACAGTTTGAGAACTGCAGCCCAGACTCCTGCCTGGATCCTCTTCCCAGTGCCCAAGACTGCCTTTGTCTCCAGATTTGAGTCGAGGTCCTGACCTCTCTGTACCTCTAATCCTTTTCTTCACCAGTAATATTGAACCTCTAACACCAAGGCCCTGTACTTGGAAGGCTGAAGTTGGTGTTTAATGGCTGAATGCATCTCATCCTCTGCATAATATACAGTTGTCTGGGCAGCTGTAACAGGCTTTATTGTGATTTTAGGAGAGTGATCTTGGGCAAGTCTCCTGATCTCTGTGTAAGTTTTCCTTTTTGCATAACCACTGCCCCCACCACGGAGCTTCCTACTGTATTAACCTCACAGGTTTAAGAGTAAAATAGGACCTATGCCGGAGCACAAAGAGCAAATGAGGTCCTTATTCATGTATCCCTGGGACTGAAATTAGCAGTAGCTCCTGCTTACCTCTGCAAGTTAGCAGCCAGCCTTGTTCTGGCTGGGGCTCTCACCACAGGACTGTCCCAGGAATGTGGCTTTGCTTTGTGTCCCTCACTGAGAGGTGTGCCGTGGTCTTACCTCCATTTGCACCTGATATAGGGTATATTCCATAGTCCCCATCAAGTTTCTCAGCATTGCTTCCATGCATGAGCTATCTTGTTTTGCTGACCTCCCCACACTGAGTAGAAGTTGGGTTGCTTCCACATACTATCTAGAAGACTTCGGTTTAACGGGAGCTTCAGATGAAAGTGACAGTTGTTGCAAACTTGACTGTTCATTTAATATACCATGTCTCTTGCACATCCATTGAATGCCCAGGTCAAATACTGTGCCAGGTGCTGGGAACACAGCTGTGTCTTAACAGGAGGCCCTGTGCTCTTGGAGAGCACAGTCTCTGAGTGAGATAGATAATAATGTGTAATACAATGTGTAATACAAATCAAAAGGGAATAGAAAACTTGTGATCAGAACAGTGAAGAAAACAGATGCCTGTTGGAAAATGACAGGAGGGGACCTGGTTTAGGTTGCGCAGGCAGAAAGGATGAGATGTCTCTGACGTTTCAGCTGAGGCATGAAGAATGGAGAAAAGGGGCAACCTGGAGAAGAGCCTTTAAGGTGGAGGGGCCAGTAGGTCTGAGGGAAGAAAGTTCTAGGTTTGTCCTAGGCATGGAAGGATGGCCGCTGCATCTGTGTGAGGTGGCCAGGGAGAATGCACAGGGAAATGAAGTTGGAGGAGACAGGGCGGATCTACAACACTTGTGCATTGGATAAGGAGTTTTATTCTGAGGTATTTCTTTTGTTTTCTGGGCCGGTGTTTGGGAATGGTGCCTGGGGGGTGTCTGACTGCTGTGAGATAAGGGACACTTCCTGGACACCTGGCTCAGCTTGCCAGAAGAGAGGGGGCCAGGGAGGGGAGCCAGTGCTGAAACCAGAGGCTAAAGAAGAGCCTCAGTGGCTCCCCACCCCTCCCATCAAGAAGCTGCTAGAACAGAAAGTCTGGTTGCCATGTTCTGGGAGGAGCTGAGCACGACCAAAGGGCAAGGTGCAGACATCCCTGTCAGTGCTGAGGAAAACAAGTTAATAAAATGGAGGCCTGGACAGAATGTGGACAGTGCAGAACCAGCTGGGTGGGGATTAGGAGACAAATGGACTTGTACCGGGAAGTTCTAGGGAGAGAGGGAGACAACCACGTATTATGTTCCAGTGATTTTTACAACCCTCACAGCTTTCCAGGCAGTCTTGTTTTGCTTATAAAGAAACCCAGGCTGGCTGCAAGCTCAGGGTTACACTAGCCAGGCTAGACAGGTTTTCTGAATTCAGAAGGGCCGAGTATTTGCCAGGGAGTAGGATTTAGATTTCTCACTCGTGAAGATCATTGAAGAAAGGTCAGGGAACCCTTCAGGCCTGATGAGTAACTTGACAAGCAATGTTTATAGGCCTTGAATGGAGAACAGGGAACAGGTAGAATGGAGGAAGGGTTCCCCAAAGAAGGTGGGTCTGTGCTGAAAGGTATGGAGAAGCTAGAGGGGAAGCTGTGAGTAAAGGCCATATTCCAGGCCTCAGGGGAGACCAGAGCAGAAAATATGGCTGTGAGAAGGTAGAAGGTGTGTTCAGGGTCTTCCCTGCACAAGTTGGAGAGGGCGTGGTGGGGCCATTTCTGACATGCCATGTCTGTGATGTCTTCCAGGCCCAGAGACTGCTGGGCCAAAGGAGGCCCCACCAGTCCTTCTTTGAATCCTTCACCCGGACCCTCATCATCGTGTGTGCTGCCCTAGCTGTGGTCCTGTCCTCTGTCTCCATCTGTGATGGTCGCTGGCTCCTGGCTGAGGACCACCTCTTTGGACTATGGCACTTCTGTACCAACTCCAACCAGACTGGGATGCACTGCCTCAGAGACCTGAGTCAGGCCGGCATACCGGGGTTGGCTGTGGGAATGGTCCTGGCCCGCAGCGTGGGCGCCTTGGCCGTGGTGGCTGCCATTTTTGGCCTGGAGCTCCTCATGGTGTCCCAGGTGTGTGAGGACCTCCACTCACTGCGCAAGTGGGCCCTGGGCTCCACCCTCCTCCTCACCTCATTTGCCCTCTCCTTTGGGGGGCTCCTGAGCTTTGTGATCCTCCTCAGGAACCAGGTCACGCTCATCGGCTTCACCCTGATGTTCTGGTGCCAGTTCACCGCCTCCTTCCTCTTCTTCTTGAATGCCATCAGTGGCCTTCACATCAACAGCATCACCCACCCCTGGGGACAACTAAGGAAATTTTAAGGCCCTCTCTCCAAGGACATCTGGTTCTATAAGAAAGTGTGGTCAAGATGGGACTTTTGTAACATGTGACCTCTGGTGGGGGTAGGGGTGGGAGAGTGACCTTGAAACATGGCTTCTTACCCAATAACCTTTGGATGGTCAGCCAGACATGGCCCAGGGGCCTTTTTCCAGGGCCAGATGCCAGGAAGATGCCTTAGTTTCACCAGCCTCACAGGCTTAGCCAAGTTATTAGGCTGTACAATAGATTGTAGAACACATTTTAAAACCCTTTGCTTGAATCCTTCTTCCCAGGACAGAAATAGATTTGGAAGTAGCTCCGGTCACTGGTACCTGGACTGGCTGCACAGCTAAGTGCTGTTCACACCTGTTTTATGGCTCTCAGGGTTGCAAAGAGTGGATCATTTTCCAGCTAAGGATGTCCCATCAGTGCCTAGGACTTTCTCCTACCAACTCAAAGGAACTGTGTGCATGCTTCCCTGCTTTAGCATTGGTTATGCCAGGGAGGCAGAGTGCAGGATTCCCTCAGAATTTATTGCACATGATAGGTTTTCAATCTATGTTACTTGGTGTGACTCCCTGCCTTTGGGGAACCCCATAATCCCTGCCTAGGCTCAGCTTCCAGCAACTAGCTGGCTGCATCCTCTGAGGGGTCTGCCTGTGGGAATCCTGCCTGAAATCTTTGAGAAGTTTTGGAGTAAGTCTTCCAGAAAAGTCCATCTGATTCTAATGCACAGCCCTCCCCAGGGCAAATGTGCGTGTCCATCTTTGGCGAGGATCAGGCAGCCTCAGGGTACCAGTGTTGGTCCTAGATACATTCAAAGAGCACATGTCTGAACCTGCTAGACCTTGGGTGATGATTAATAAACATCCTAAAGATGAGTGCAGGTGAAGGGAACCAGGAATCAGCGAAGATTCCATCCGTGCCAGCAGATCAGTGTTTTTGTGCATTAAATCACCCCCTTTCCAGTCCCTTTTTGCCCTCAGCCCATTTTATTCCACACTAGCCCTTTCCTGCTCCCCGACCTAGTGAATGCTGGCCTTCCCTGGTTCCTTCTGGCTGCCACTGATAGTGTGAGTTTTTGGTCACTACAGTTCCCCTTCCTGGGCTGGGCTGGGTGCCTATACCTACCTCTTGTGATTTTTTCCCTTAAACTTTTATTCCAAAATGCACAGTCTGTGGAGGTGGCTCAACAGAGGTATGGACCAATTGATGTTCAGAGAGCAGAGCTCATAAACCATATAGGCTGGGTCCTTAGCCTTGGACCTGAGCACTTGGCCTTCTCACCAGGAGCAGCCTACAAAGGGGCAAAGGGTGACCTCCTTGTCTCTGCAGGGGGAGTTGCAAAGGTGGGGAGCCAGGGCCCAGAGAGGGTTGGCACTCATCCAGGGCCTCCCAAGGCCAGGACTCAAGCTGGACCCACTCACCAGCAAGATGCTCTTTCCTCCACAGTGAGGGTAAGGGGGAACAGTGGCCTTTTCATCTTCAGAATGTGTTTGCTTGAATCTTGAGTCCTCTAGTCCTCACAAGGTTGGTGGGCAGGGAGTGTTGGTATTTAAGGGAACTGAGGTTCAGAGAGGAAAGCATGAGACTAAAATCCCCAATGAAATGGGGAGACAGGCCCTGGTAAAACATGGACTTGGAGCTTGGGGGTTTGAAATAACTAAAAGGCTGTACTGGACTTCTGCCACTTCCTTGCCTAGTTGTTTGGGCAAGTCATAGGGCCTTGGTGAACCTGATGCTTTCTTATCAAATGGCATCAGGCCCCATCTCCTACTGTACCTGCCTTGGGGGCTGTGGGTAACTGACCGAAGGGGCAGTTACAACAGAGAGATGCCTCAGACCATGTCAGGGTTGCTAAGAGGGAGCTAGGCATCCTGAGGCTCTCCTGGCCTCCACTGGGATTGACCGGATTCAGCAGTTGTCTTGAGGGCCCTAGGGTGAGAGCTGCTGGATAGCTGAATTGCAGTGAGGGGTGGGGAGTGTCCTTGATTTCTCATTTCCTGGACTTCTAAGTTTGTCCCTGAAAACTGGAGCAGAGGACCAGAAAAGCCATTCCCCCTCCAGAAAGGGGTAGGTAAGCATCCTCCCTCACCTGTGTCTCAAAAAGACCGAAAAACAGACCAAATCTCATCCCAGTATCTTCCTCACTTCTAAGCCCCCCGAACTGCTCTTTCCCCCATTCCCCCACAGTGCCCCAAGTTCCTTCTGTTGAGTTCTGAGGAATTCTCACCATCCAACCCAAGGCCTGGAGGAGAGGTTATTAGTCACAGGGGGAAAGCATACGATGTCTGTGAGGAAGATGGACTGTCCCGAAGCAGTGTCCTGCCCTCTCAGGACCCAGCTTGACTTAAGTCCATGGCTGACCCTGCTCCAGCCTCAGATGACGCTGGCCCTGCAGGTGTCCGGACTTGGCTCCGAGGGGCTGGCCTTGGTGCTGTGGGTGTGGCCGCTGTTGCCGTTGCTAAAGGAGTTGCTGAGGGCCAAGGGACACAGTGGGAACTCGGGCAGGTGCCACTGCCGCCACTTCTTCTGAACCTCCAGCTGTACCTGGCCCCGGAGACCAGTCATCAGCCCAGGCGGGAACAACATGAAGGACCTGGGGTCCAGAGCCCTGCTCGTACCCTGGTGCCCCTGCACAAGCCCTGCCACTCTGGTCCAGTAGTCATGCCTTCCCTTCTGCAGGCCACTCAGACCAATTCTAGCCCTGAGATCCAGTAGGTAGAGCCCCATCTCTGAGTGCGTTCACCTGCAATCTCACTACAGATGTCCTGAGGAAGGGGTTTGTGGTCATTATACAAACTCCAGAGCTCCAAAGCCCATGGGACAACAGGATACATGCCCAGGAAGCCACCCTAGCTCAGAAGTAATCAGGATCAAGGAGCTGCTTTTTGGAAATTTCCTCCATGAATGCTAGCTGTAGCAGCAAATCCTTTGAGGCTAGGCTTGATGGCTCGTTTTTAGAAAATATCAGAAGTTGTTCCTGTTCAAGTGGCACAGCAGATGGGTGGTCAGCCATCACAGAAAGGCTTTACTTATGTGCATGCTGTGTTCAACTAATGATTATGCAGCTTCTGTGTGCCAGGAACCTCATGTCCTGACCCAGATGCTGGGCAAGGGCCAAGGCCTCAAAGTAAGTGCAGCCCCCAAAGGAGTCCGTTCATGTGGGGTTCTCTGAGTTGGCAGAAAAGTCATCTGAGTTACTTATTTCACAGATGGGAAGATTGAGGCCCAGAGAGGGGCAGTGACTGAGATCAGCCGTCCAGCAAGCAGACAGCAGTCAGGAGCTGGGTTCAGGTTGGGGTACATGTACTTTCCTCCATCTCCTGACCTTCCCAAGGACAGGAATCACCTGGAGTGCTTGTTAAAAAGCATTCATGGGATCCAACCTAGACCATTTTTGCTGAACTAGAAACTGGGGGTAGGGCCCAGCAATTGTTCCACCAAGCCCTCCAAGTGAGCTCCTGTAAAGTGAGCTCAGACTCCTAGAAGACAGGCCCAAGTCAGGACACCCCAGCCTCCCCTGCCCACACCCTAAACACCCTTCCCAGGTAGCTCCCTCTGAACCCGAATCCAGCGACTGGGGAGCTCCTCCAGGCATTAGGGCAACCCAAGTACACTCACCTCCCCGTTGAGGAAGCAGTAGAGGACAGCCACCACCAGGCCCTGCAGAGGGAGGGGTGGGGTTAGTGCAGGTGCTCTGGCACCAGCCTCCCTCCTCCAACTTCCTCCCAGTGTTTTAATCACCAGCCCCAGGCTCACTCCCCACTGCTCCCAGGAAGTGTCCCAGAGCCTTCTCACACTCTCTCCTCCAGAGGGATGGGGGCTGCCAGAGGAAGGGGACTCCCCTTCTGAACCCCACAGTGTCCCCAGCTGTGCAGGCATCGTCCAGCACAGCCAGCTCCTAGGGGCCAAGGACAGGGTCCCTTTTGTTTCTTGTCCCCAGTGTCCAGTGTAGGCCTTGTACACACATGGTGTCCGTAACATTTGAGTAAGGGCTGCAAACTAGGGCTGTGGGGAAGGCAAGTCACCTGAATTAGTTAGGTGGGCCATCCAGAAGCAGGGAGCAATGGCACCTGAAGCAACACTGCCCCCACATTTCAGGCCAGCCCATGTGAAACCCTGAGCCCTAAGTGGGCTCATTTTGAGATAAGCTGGACCTTTCACCTGGAACTGACATCTTCCAATAATTCACCAAAATGAATGAAAACGGGGAAGAGGAGGAGCACTCATTATATAAATGTTCTCTAGGCCTTTTAGAGAGCATGGAGCTTTTCCTAAGGCCACAGACATGCGAAACTACAGGAAAGGTGGTATTGCAGGCATCAAGACAAGGACACTGATCAAAAAGGAATGCCCCACGATTGTTCCCATGGCAACAATGCAGGAGTCTACAGTGTTACCCAGCAAGCGGTAAACACTGTTGTGAACAAACAAGCTAAGGGCAAGATTCTTGCCAAGAGAATTAATGTACCTATTGAGCACGTTAAGCATTCTAAGAGCTGAGATAGCTTCCTGAAATGCGTGAAGGAAAATGATAAAAAAAACAGAAGGAAACAATCCTGGATTGAACTGGAGCGCCAGCCTGCTCCACCCAGAGCAGCATACTTTGTGAGAAGCAATGGAAAGGAGCCTGGGCTGCTGGAGCCCATTCCCTGTGAATTCATGGTGTGGTGAGTGTGAAAAAACACAAGACCTCTGTACTGATAAAAATGTTTCTCTTAATTGAATAGAAGGGTGTACCCCCTTCCCAAAAGAAATATTTAAAGAAAAGAAAAGATAAACTGAAATCTGAAGATATTTAAACTTGGACAACTGTTCAAAGTGAAAAACAGACGTGCGACTGTGTGGCCAGAACTAAGCCTGTGTGAGCGTCCTGGCCAGCCAGCAGTGGGTGTGACCTCCCTGCTGAACAGGCAGGTGAGTGAGTGCATCTCCCTGGTCCAGGGCCTCATGGCTATACCTGCTTTGTGTTCCCTGGCATGGTGGGGGTCTGTGACTATCAGGACCCTCGCTCCCTGGTACCTGGAGCTCCTGTTTCCCCCATGGTGTCCCCTGGGATCGCAGCATGGAGCCCCACCTGGGTAGGGATTACAGGGTGGGATGCAGGATTTGAGACTAAGAGGCCTGCATAGAACAGTCAGCTGTGAACAAGGTCTCTACAGTGCAAATACTCTACTCACCTCCTTAGGGACCCACCTCCGGCCAGCCTGCTCTTCCTTACAAATACAGGCCCTGCCCAGGGGCCTAGGTGTCACAGCTCTGATCTCAGTGGCCCAAATCCTCTTCCTTAGTGCCATCCTGCCCTTCCCTTAGCTACATAATACATTGGAAAGGACCCAAAGGGTAATAAACCAGCCTGCCTATAGAGGCTTGAAATGCACAACTACTCAGGGGTATTGGCATTTAACAAGGCTTAGTGACAAAACTAGGAGGACTTCCTTTAGAATTTCAGGCATCAATGAATGCCGCCCAGAATGGACAATTTTGGGGGATGAGGGGGTGAATACTTACTCAAAGCAGTGGTTTCCAAATTTTGCTGCACATTAGAACCACCTGGAAGCTTTGCCCAATTTTACTCTGTACTCCAAATCTGAATGTCTGGAGGTGGGAGCATCAGCAGTTTTGAAAGATCCCCAGGAGGTTGGAATGGGCATCACTTATTAGGAACCACTAGTAGAGACTGTGAAAGGAAGGCTTTGAAATAAAAGCTTTGGGCATAGCTTGGCCTGCACATTTGTGGGCTTCTGGGTCCCAGATGCTTCATTTAATCCTTGCCAAAGTTCTAGGCAGGTGGGAGGACCCCCTTCACGGGTGAGTGAACTGAGTCACAGGGGTTTAGGCTGCACTCGAGCTGTGTGTGCTTGGTTTGGAGCTAAAGGTCAGGCTTCCAGCAGATGCTGCTGCCCATCTCACTGGGCCCAGGGTTGCCTGGCCTCGCCGGTCTGGGTCTCAAGGATCCACGGACACACTGTCACCATTCAGGCCAGGGTAGGAGCCCTGGGTGAGGGGCGGTTCAATGTGCTCCAGGTATATATGGCAGGCCTCACCCAGCCCACAACTTAAAACTCCTACAGTGGCATGGGGAATTGTTCATGGGGTGGGTGGGCATGATAAAGAATTAAGCAAACAGGCAACAAAACCACACGTCACGATCCTGATTCCATCTGCCTGTGGGCACATCTGTGTGTGTCTTCCTGAATAGAAAAGACACAGAAGTAAACACACCAACATCTTAACAGAGGTTATTTCTGGGTTCTGAGATTATTAATGAATTTTTCTCTTTTGACTTTTCCTTATTTCCAAATTTCCATAGGCAAGTTTTATTTCTACAATTAGAAAGATCTTAGTTTTAAAAAATATATGACGGGGTAATGATACTATGGTTCTGTGTGTGTTTTTTAAGCCCATCTTTTGAAAACACACACTAAAATATTCACATTTGAAATAAAACGATGTCTTGGGCTTGCTTAAAACAATGCAGGTAGGCTGGAGGAAGGGGCTGGTGATGGAGGTGAGACAGGAGAGCTCATTAGTAGTGGCTGTGCAGGGGGTTCACTATTCTCCTCCCTTTTGTATATGGAAGAAATTGTCCGTGATACAAATTTTTAAAATAAATGTTATACATAAATGCATAATGTATATAAAATGATATGTTTATATGTGAACAAAGGTTCTTTTTAGAAAAACCTCTTAGCCCTGGCTGGCGTAGCTCAGTGGACTGAGTGTGGGCTGTGAACCAAAGTGTTGCAAGTTCGATTCCCAGTCAGGGCACATGCCTGGGTTGCAGGCCATGGCCCCCAGCAACTGCACATTGATGTTTCTCTCTCTCTTTTTCCCTCCCTTCCCTCTATAAAAAAATAAATAAATAAAATCTTTAAAAAAAACTCTTAAAGATCCTTTTCCTTTGTAAACATTTCTAGGGGAACATTAGGAAAGTGCTCTTGGTTTTCTCTCATCAAGCCATTTCCCCAGAGGAAAGTCCAGTGGCCTTTGGTTGGGTAGGCCACAGCCCGGCTCCAGGGCACCAGGAGTCCCCATCCATGCAAGCAGGTGGCCCTGGGTCTCCAGATTCTCAGAGAGGGCACATTGCCTTTGCTGTCAGCTGCATCAAGGCCTTCTATCTGTGTGGGCCTGGAATCCCCCATCTGCTAAATGGACCGCTCTGAGCCCAGTCCCCCCATATATTACAAGAGTAGTGGGCACAAAAGCTTCCTAACCCAGAGAAAAAGAATCATGGATTCCACAAGAGGCTGGTTCCCTGGTGGTCTGAGGTGCTGCCAGGGGCTCTGAGCAGAAAAGAGGCTCAGAGGGAGGACAGCCCTGGGGTGGGGTCTGCAGGCACAGGTCAGGTTCCTCCCTGGAACCTGAGAGTGACAAAAGCATGACCCTGGTCAGGCCCACCCTGAACATATCTCTGGGAATTAGGGAGGCCAAGGCCACCCAGTGAGCAGGACTCTGCAGGGTGACCAACCTCCTTGAGGAAGGACTGGCTTCTTTAGGAAAACCCACTGGGAAAAATTTTTCTCAGGCCCCAATGCGTATAACCACTGGGTCTGTCCTGGGCTCTACAGCTTGTTTTCATCCGTGGATACTGTAACTCTTGAAACAAGTTGTGTTTCTGGCTTTGCTGTGGCTGCTAGAAAGCTCCAAACCAAACGTATGACCCATCTCTCCCACCTTTACAGGAAGAGTTTCATCACATTTGCTTCTATGTATGAATTCTTTTGCTTTCTTTTCTTTTTTTCAGTAGTCCCTCATCTACTTATTTTCTGTCCTCTGTACGTTTTTCCTGAAAGCTACATCACATTATTTTTGGAAAGAAATAATGTTCTGAAGTTCGGGAGCTCCTTCTGTCCCAGCATGTTTACTGTCTTTTTTCTAAACCTTACATCTTGTTGAATTAGTAGGCAGGTGACTTCTCCCTTCACTTTTTTTTCCTGTTAAGTTGGTTTTTATCTTTAATAAGTTGTGTATGCACATGACTCCAAAGAGTCAAGTGATTCTTGTCACAAAAAAAACAGCAGCCTCCGGACACCGCACCCCCACTTCCTGTTCCTCAGAGGTAACTGCTTGGAACTCTCTTACTGATTCTAAATAATGCTGATGTTGCAACTTCTGAAGTTTTCAGTTTGAGTAATTTTTACGGACTTCCCAGTAGGAATATGAAGCTCTTATTTGTTCAAAAACTCTCCCCAGATGCTCATCTCCCTGCTCTACTTTTTGATGGCTCAGCCACAGCCCTCGGGGCTTACATTACTACAGCTGTGTGGATGCCTTTGAGTCGCACAGTACCGCGAGGGAGGGTTCCTTTTCCCTCCCTGGAATCAGTCTCTCTCTCCTCTCAGTCTGATCTCCCACCCCATCTGACTGGTGGGGAACCTGGGCTTCCCTCAGGGTCACGGCACAGTGAGAGCCCGCCCCTCTGCTTCTCATGGGTCTCTGTCAAATGAGGCATCCACGCTCCCAAGCCGCACTGCTGAACTCGTCCGGGGAGATCTGGCTGCTGTCGGTATGGCCCGTGGGTTTCTCCAAGGACACGGGGAACTTCTATTCCACCTTAAAGACAGCGCCCCTGAAACTCACCTGGAACGAGCCCAGAGCCAGTTCGAAAAACAGCTGGATCTCCATGGCATCCTCCGGTGAAAAGGCAAAGATGACGTAGTGGGCGCCGAAGAGCGGGATCAGCAGGAGCGTGGACCTGGCCAGACGCCTGGGAACACAGGAGACGCGCGCGGTCCTCGGTCCGGCCCCGCCCGCGGCGCGGGCTGCGCTCGCCCGTCCGGCCTGTTTGCCGGAGGCTTGGCTTGGCAGCAGTGTCCCCAGACTTTTTTGTTTTTACTTTTTATTTCAGAAAACTTTCAGTTCTCATGTGCTCATCACTGAGATGCATTTATCAACCCATGGCCAGTCCCAAAACTTTCTGATCAGGCACCCCTACCAGTAAAAACTCTGAACGTGGACCCACTCAGGTATTTACTCATGAATTATGTGCAGATATGACTGTTGCTCTAGGTCTAATGTATTATTGGCAAAGCCAGCATTCTTATTTGTTTGATAAGAAGGACTTGCTCTTTCATTTTCTTCCCAGGTTAGATTTACCAAAGTTAGCAACTAAAAATACAGGATGCCCAGTTTAATTTGAATTTCAGATAAACAATGGATTTGAGGGCATGTAACTACTAAAAAAAAAAGTATTGTTTACCCAAAATTAAAAACGAACTGGGCAGCCTGTATTTACTGGCAATTTTATCCTGTATGCCCAGCTCCACCCTACCTCGGCGCCCACTGCCCTGAAGGCGTCCTAAGGAATCTGCTGCCGGAGCCCCGACACCCTGACCACCACAGAGAGAGCCTCTGTGGGACACTGGTCCGCCTTCATTCCCGGGACGGGTGAACTGCCGCCACCCAACCCACGAGCTGAAGCTCTGACCCGCAGGCCCGAGAAGGGGCTGTGCTCTGCCTCGGGTGGGCCCGTAAAGAGGCGACTGCGTCCAGGTCACGCCTGTGCGGCTCTAGTCCGGCTGGCGCCGGTCTCGGGAGGAGGCCCGTGAGGACACACGGTCCGGCGGCGGCGTCTGCGGGCGAGGAGAGAGGCCGCGGCCGGGACCGAGCCTGCAGACACCGTCATCTTGGACTTCCAGCCTCGAGAGCTGTGTGGGAGATTAATGCCCCTTATTCCAGCCCCTCGGTCTGGTGTGTTGCACCGGTGGCCTGGGCGAGGAGCGCGGACTCGCTGCAACACTGTAGCAGGGCGCGGCCCAGCGGGGCCCCAGTGGGGATTTGGAACGGGGTCCAGAACTGAGGGTGTCCAGGGAGTGTTAGAAAGACATACGGGAGGTCCTCACCCCTCCCCCACTCGGGTCCGTTCTGTAACAGTTTTGGCGACTCCAGCGGGAGGATAACTGCCCGTGGCAGACCCACCCCCTCAGGATTTTCCCCAGTCTCCGAGAATTTCTCCGCACTCCTCCCGAGGGCATTGGCCACCTAATCACGCCCAGAAAGGTGAAAAGGAAATGGATCAGGGAACAGAGCAAAGAAGTGAAATGGTTTTGTTGAAAACTGGTTTCTGAACACTGTCAGAATAATGGAGTTGTGGATGATGGTTTGGTTAGTGTGCTGCTCCCAGGTTGCCCCTCTCTGCTCGCTTACAGTTTCGGGGAACCCAGACGGCACTAAGGGAACCTGTACTCAGGTTTGGGGAGGAAGCAAACCCCTAGGCTCTGTAAGCCAAGCCTGCTTGTAGGGTGGGGATTGGACAGCAAGCCATGTGGGTGCACTGTCATTCTGGGTAAAATGGAGGATGAGCCACGTGAGTGCCCCACAATGGAAGATGGGTCATGCATGCAAGTCGCCATCTTGGACGACCTGCATGAATGGGGGCGGCCATCTTGGATGATGGGTCACCTGAGAGTTCCGCCATCTTGGAGCTGGGCAAGGTGGTGGGCCAGGGGTTCTCTTCAGATTATGGGCTGCGTGTTGCTGCTGTGTGGGCCCTGCACCAGGCAGGTGCTCTGTGCAACTGGTTCTGATAGGGAGAGCTCTGGTTCTGAAGGTCGTGAACTGGGGTTCAAGGGTGACCATCTGATTTATAGGGGGTTTGCAAGGTGTAAGCTTCAGAAAGCTGCACAATGTCCCTGTGAATCTAGGGACTTTTGATGCCAGATACTGAGTTTAAGTATAGTCCTTCCCAGTGTGGGAAAGGAGCAGGGATTAAAAGTGAATTATGGTTAAATCTGGATGGGTAAAACTATGTAGGAAAGGTTGTGAAAGTTTTAAACCTGGAGGAAAGGAAACCTCAACTACTCGTTTTCTGGTTTTATGGGAAAGGAGCAAGTCTCTCCCATTGGTTCTGTTTCTGATCAGACACCCTCTGTATCTGAAGACCTGTTTAAGGTCACCTGTAAGACCTAGTTAAGGTCACCTGTAAGACATACAGAAGGTCGCCTGTAACCGGTTGGGGAGCATGCCTTTGCTGCTCAGGACCCAGGAAGGGTTGTTTGGGGCTGATGAGTGTTTCAGTCTGAGGCAAAGCAGCATGTCTCTGCCAAGAGTCGGGGCCTGAAGGAGCACATCTCTGCCGAGGCACCGGTGGATGTGCTGGTGCAAGAGAATGCCTCTACCTGTGTATTGTTCTATTTTGCTCTGCATCTGCTCTGAAAAGGAAATTGAGGATTCCAGGGAAGGTTAAAGCTTCACACTCTGTAGAAAAGTGAACAAGGGAAAATGTAAGATATGTAAATGAAAAATAAAAGGATATCAGAAGGAAAACGATTTTCCTTCCCACTTTGTATTTTTCTCCCTACCTGATCCCTCCAGAATTTGGTATCCTGAAGGAGTGAGTGATGACATAAGGTTTCTTTGCATAAATCCATTGAGACCAGTCATTAATGGTGGTTTTATTAACCAAGATTTCAACTGGAATGTCACACCTGAAGAAGGCATGTATGGGTTCTGGTTGTCACCAGAAAGCCCTGAGGAACTGGGATTCACTTGCGAAGCTAGCATAAGCCCAGGAGAAAAACCCTGGTACTTTGGTTGCTTGTGCGGTTGGTTGGCAGTCTTTCCAGGGAAGGAACGAAGGTTGCTTACCTGAAAGATGGCTAAAAAGGAACCTGTAGGCACAATGGAAGCCTCAAGGATTTGAGTGAAACAACCAGTACAGGCGAAGCCAGATCGCAGATGTGTGGGTCTTCTTCTGTGCCCCGAGGGGCGGACTAAGAAGTCAGTCTAAAGGTTCCCTGTGTGAGTTCCAGCAAAGAGGACTTAAAGATCATAAGTAATCCAGGCTGGTCTTGGTGTGTTTATGCAAATGAACAGTCAAAATGAAAAGTGGGACTGAAAGTAGTCCCTTTAATGACAATGAGGGTGATTTTAAGGAGAAAAAATTGTGGTTCAAGAAAAATCATGATGCTCGGTATTGGACATCAAGATGGAGCAGCTAACTGTCTTAAAAGTTTGTTTTCATTTGGAAGTTGAAACTGGGTTTGTAATATCACCAAAGATGTACAATTTACAGGTATGGAGGACCTGTCAAATTGCCATTGTTAAATGTCATTGTAGGAAGGACCTTGCAACTGAATGTCTTCCCAAAAGACAGTCTCACAGGCACAGAGACTGGTTTGGGGATTGTTGTGTTCTAACCTGTTGTGAATTAACCTGTGTGTTCTTCTGTTTTCATAGGACATATGCCTATGACCTCATTACTTGAGTGATTGCTTGCAATATAGGCCTCACTTAAGGGGCCCATTCTTCATGATCGCCCCCTGAAACTCAACAGTTTGGCTAAGTGGTTGGGTTGGTGAAAGGTTTGAGCAGTCTGTGGAGTTCACTTGAGAACTGATTTTCCTTTTCTGTCCTGATGGCTTGGGCAGAAAGGGCCCAGAAATCTGAAAGGAGGGAAATCCTAATATATTCTCCTCAGCCCAATTGAAGTATAGTGGGCCACAAGAGTTTTGGATAGGTGTAGCATGCCTTGTACACCTTCCTCCAGATAAGCCATTCTTTACCTAAGTCCCTGACTTGGTCATTTAGTGGTTATGATTTAGTTGTGCTTCCAACTCTCTTTCCAAATCTGTCACCTCCAGAATACGACTAGGATGCCAACTGTCCAGTAATGCCAGCCTTTGGACACCAAACATGCAACTTCCTGGTGACAGCCAACTGACCAGGATTCTGTAAGGTCCTTCCCCTGACAGGAAGGACTCCCTCTGTGCCACAGCCCCCTTTCAGGGCACCCCTGACCCAAGGGTAGGTAGGAAAACGTCCATGCCCAGCCGGGAGTAGTTACAAGAAGATGAGACCTACGTCCATTGTCCTTTATATTATTATAAAGGGGTTGTATATCTGAAAGGAGGGATTGTAACAGGGTGCAGCCCGGAGGGGGACCCCAAATAGGGATTTGGAATGGGGTCCAGAACTCAAGGTGTCCAGGAAATATTAGAAAGATGTATAGGATGTCCTCACCTCTTTCCTCTACCCCCACAGATGTGGGTTGAGGAAAGGGACACATGGAGCAGGAACATGCAGAGCTATTTTGTACAGCAGCAGCTTTGCAGCTAACCTCTGGCATGGCCATTTAACATATCTATAGCCTTTAACTGGTTACACAGATATGTTAAATAGCTATGGCCATGCTTTGAGCTGGGGGGATGGAAGTGACTTCCACCCAAGATGTAACTGGGGGCAGCTCCCCCTGGTTACAGCACCTGCATGGGAGCTTGGAGAAGATTGGCTCAACGTCATGGGGCCACACCTGCCCAGACTTACGATGGCAGTGCAGTAAAGCTGGAATAATACAAGAATTCTGGCAGGTATAACTGATTGTAGGAGGAGTCGGAAATGGGACTGCAGAGGAAGGTTGGTGCAGGGATTTAAACCCAAATGTGGCAGCCATTATAGAGAGAACTACACAGCCTTGGCGAGAGTCAGGACCATGCGGCTTTGGGGTGCTCCCGGTCCTTTTGGTAATAATAGTATGTCATACACCCACCTTGGCCCTGTTCGGTAACAACATCTTAAAGGTGTTAAAGTATTTTTGAACCACACACCTTAAAAATCTGATGATCTCTGCCTCCTGAATCCCCACTGAGATTTCCTGTCTCCTCACCATCAGAACAGTGTCTCAGGTCTCACAACAGACCCACACCCTGCCCCCATTTATACATTTATATTGAATATGGACCCCTTGGAACTAGGTCAGGGTTCTGCCTTCTCCCCTGTCTCCAGTAGTGCCTAACAGCAGCTGGGTGAACAGCTGTTGCTCAGGAAATGTGTGCTGACTGAACATGCCTGAGTCTTTGCCCTCCACTTACTTATAATGGTTTACTTCATTTCCTCTTGTTTCTTGGGTTCTAAGTTTTCTCATCAGGATTCTTAGAATGTTTATAAAAAGGATGAAATTAATCTGTAAAACACAAGGCAGAGTGTGTGTTACAGGTGTTTTGCATTTCCACCCCCTCCCCTGGCCCTGCCCCAGGGCCTGAAGGCAGAGAAGGCAGTGCAGACCACACCCAGGATACTCCCCAAAATGGCACATCATCGCTTCCCCACCTCACCTGCTTGCCCCCCACCTCCTTGTCTCAGTGAAACAAACTGTCTGGAGGCCATGGAGGCCTCCTCCTAGCCCTGGGCTGCAGGGGCTCTAAGGTCCACTCAGCCTCAGCACCAGTACTCACACTTGGAGTGCATTGGAATCCTCTGGGGATCTTCTTAAAATGCAGGTCTGGGTGGGCCTGAGGTTCTGTGTTTCTACCCAACTCCCAGGAATGCTAAAGCTGGTTCCTGGACTACATTTTTAGTAGAACCTTAACAGCGAGGCTCTCAAAGTTTACAAGGAAGATTGTTACATGCCCTCCCAGCATCTGGCGTGGGGCCCAAGAATTTGAATTGTATAAGCTCCCAGGTGATGCTGAAGCTACTGGTCTAGGGATCACACAGAACTGTTCCAATGGCAGCTCAACCGCCAGCTCCAGGAAGCCATCCTTGATTACCTCCCTTTCCTAATTCGCTGTAGTTAGGGATAATGTTACTGCATAAGAGCACTTGAAATATTTGACAGGGGCCAAATACATGCATCTGTTAAACCTGTATGCTTGTCCACATATCTGCCAATTGTATCATAACTTCCTAAAGGACAGGAATGGAGTCTCTTCACTTTTTTTGGTGTCCCCTCCAATCCCAGTGCCAAAATATTATGAAGTTGCACACAGGGTGGTACCTCTCCTCCCCACTCACCCACCAGCTCTAGCACCATTTACAGAAAAGGGATGAGTGGAATCACCCAGCCAGGCACCCTCTTTGTTCACACAAATAGCCTGGGGCCTGGGGACACTTGCCATAAGACACAGGATTAGTGGCCTTAGCCAGGCACTGCTACTTTCGGAGCACTGCTTCTCAGATTGTTAGGCATCTTGCTCTGAGCTAGCTGTGCATGGAGTAAACTAATAAAGGCTATTTTATTTTATCTTATTTTATTTTTTGTCTTAGCAAGCTCTTGTAGGCAAAAGGGAAAAAAAATCTTAAGATCCTAAGGATGAGATGTAAATATTGGCATTCTAGGCTATGTGACAGGCTGGTAGGGAGATGTTTTGCATCAGGAGTGCCCACCCAGCATCCCTCAATCACCACAGACCATAGTCCCATGAAATCAGCCTGGACACTGACTGATTGTCCCTCAACTGGGGCTCTGCCCAGCGGAGTTGTCTGAGTCCCAGAATTACAGAAAGGAAACTGGCTTAACTAAATGAGGAGACACTCTCCTGTGGGAATATCATAGCACATCGGTTGGTCAAATAACTTCATAGGATGTGGGAGAGCTCACATCTATTGCTAAATGAGAAAACGAACAAACTGGGACATAAACCATATTATGCATTTTGAAAAAAAAAGTATGTATGCTCAAGAAGAAAAAGAAGGGAAGGAAAACACATGTACTCGCATGTGTATCCAAGTGCTAAAAGGTGATTTAATTCCCTTTTTAAAAATATATGTTGTGTCTTCCAATTTTTTTACACGAATTTTATTATTTTTGAAGAAGAAGAAGAAGGTCATGAGATGGCCACCTCCTCCCAGCTGGCCCCAGGAGGTCACTGAGTCAGCCAGTGGGAGAGAAGGCTGCTGCCCTGTCCTGTGCCCTCTCCTTGCTCCCATGAGGCCATGGAAGGCACTTTCTGTCAACTGGTCCTGCAGCCTTGGAGTCCCTTTGAGCCCTGTGTGCAGCTCAGGGGCTGATTTGGTCTATGAGACAACCCCTCTCTGCCCCTCATGTGTCTTCCTTCCTCTGTCCCCCATAGTCTTATCCATATCCATAGGCTCAGCAGAAGCTCCTGGGAACTTAAGATGAGTTAAGACGAGAACAAAGACCATAGCCTCACTCAGCTTTCCCCAGCCATAACCCACCTCCTCCCTCCAGGATCCCAGCTCATGAGATTCTTCCCAGTTGAATAAGATGATGCTTGTAAAATAACTAAGACCCAAAGATCTAAACCAGTGAAGGTGGATTGAAGCCGACAGAGCTAGCCAGTTTAGTGCAAAGAGCTCTGCCCACCACATTTCAGAACCTAGTCATGAACAAAAGTGAATGACGTAAGCTCTTGCACCTCCTGCTTGTTCCTGACCCCACTCCCATCCACCATTCTCTAGGGATGGAATTTCCAGCCCCTCATGCTGCTGATCAACCTCTGGAAGCTCTGAGGTTTATTTGTCCCACGCCTGGAGGGAGGGGTGCTAGCCCTGTCTCCTCTGTCTCTACAGGCCACTCACTGTCCGGTGTCTCTCACTGGAGCCCAGCTCAGGGGAGGATGGCCACTTACCAGGATGGAGAGGATCACAGGCCCTCGAATGACCCACCAGACAGATGCATTGGCGTTGATGTCCCAGCACCTATGGAGGGACAACCAGGCACCGTTAGGAGTGGGGAGCTGAGCTGACCAGAGAATACTCATTCCCTGAGGTGCCCTTCAGATGAAGGACCCATGCTGTGGTCCTGACCCCTGTGGCTGTGTGCTTAGTGCAATTAGAACCAACCCTCTCCTGCTGCCCAGGAGCACAGCTGGACGGAGGGAGCGGTGCCCTGTCTCCAGCCACACCTGGTGAGTGTCTGGGAGAGCAGATGTGTGTGGAACCCGAAAGCCAGAGACTTCAGATCTCAAAGCTAACAAAGTGGCAAACTCAACACTAGCCAGGCAGGTGACATTGATGAGTAAAGAGGCTGGGTGACTGACATGTGACCTCAGGAACCCAATGACATCAGGCATGGGGGATACTTGGCAAATTGGAGAGCATGTGTCTAGTCTACAGCAGCCATGACTCTGTTCCAGCTTGTTTCGCCACAAAACAAAATGGGAAATGTTGATAAAACTTTCAATTTTTCTAAGGAAGCTGAAAAATCCAGATTTTTTAAAAAATTAATTTACCCAATTAAAAGAATTATTTTAAAATAATTGTTTGGGGTTGATTTTGGACAGCAAGATGCTTGTCAGCCTCCATCAACCCAGTTCACTTACTGGCCTGGTTGTGTCATTATGACAAAGAGAACCAGACCCCTGCTTTGTCAGGCTGCCTCGCTTCCTCCCTGGCTTCTTTCAAGCTTTCTTTCCAGGTGCTTAGACCCAGAATGCCCCCTGGGCTCACCTCCCTCCCGACCACCTCAAATCTTTAGAGAACAAGACTAAGATCTTTTTGTCCTCAGCAGGAGTTGTTGAGGATGTGGCTGCCATTCTCCAGTCCTGCTCTGCAAGGCTCTCAGACACCTAGTTGCAGTAGGAAGGTGTGAGGGAGAAAAGCCAAGAAGAAGAAAAAGCTGGTCAGCCCTTTAGAGCTTCATCACTGAGCAGCACCTTCCTGGGGTTATGAAGCTCTTGTCTGGCACCTTACTTAACCACAGAGCTGCCAGGGCAGGCAGGCAGGGAGGGAGGCCCATGAAATTGCAAGTATGGTAAAGACCTCAGCCCATCTGCAAATCCACACCCTTGGAGAGCTGGGCACTCAGAAGGCTAGGACTCCAGAGAATCCTTTTGTGGCTGTCAGTTTGAGAAACAGGCCTCTCCTAGATTGTTGCAAAGAAGTGTCCATCTAGTTTGAAGAATTGTACAATATAAAATACACTCTTGTCATCTCTCCTTCAAACAGCTTACCCAACATCTTCCAGAAAGTGCCTGGTGATAGCCCATGAAGCAACAAAAATGGCTGGGGAACCTGAGGATTAAAAATAAAGGGAGGGGCAGACGAGAGAGGACTCAATTTTCCATACCATTATGAGGAACAGGACATTCAGGTACACCAGCCCAGGTAGGGAGCAAGTGCCATGTAAACTGCCTTGTAAATAAATCTTGCATATATATGTAGTCCCATGCTTCAAGGGAACCAGGGAAGTCCTGGGAACTGAGGTAGGATCAGATGGATCCTGAAGACCACTAGGGACTCAAGGTCTCCTGGGAGCCTGAGCCAGATTCTGGAGGACCTCTGCAGGGAAGAGGAGGGATGAAATGATGATCTACACTGTGTTGTCCAGGACAGTGGTCACTCACCACATGTGGCTACTGAGTACTTGATATGTGGCTGGTGGCAGTGGAGATGTGTTGGAAGTGCAAGACAGACACCAGATTTTGATGATTTAGTACAAATAAAAAAAAATGTAAAGTATGCTATTAACAATGTAAAAATATGTAAATATGCTCATTTTTATTATATTTTAAAATGGTAATATTTTGGTTATATTAGGTTAAATAAAACATTAAAATTAATTTCTTCTATTTCTTTTTACTGTGTTTACTGTGGCTACTACATAATTTTATGTTCCATGTGTGGCTCAGATGCTATTTCTAATGGACATGCTCATTTATATGTTGAATGGTAGGCACCCCACCCTTAGGCTGCTCAGTGTTCAGACCTCTGGCAGCCAGGTTTCTACCCTTGCTCCAGCTTTCCACCCTTTACCCTGGCAGGAGATTAAAGGGTTCTTTTCTGGAGGAACCAAACAGCCCCAGACAAAGGGCCTATAGATAGCAATGTACTCTTTAAAATGAGGCCATAGTTAGAAGAATGCTAGCCATATGGGGACCCTAACTCAACATGACTGGCATCCTTATAAGAAGGCCACAAGAGACATGCAGAGAGAGGGACATATAGGAAAGAAGGCTATGTAAAGATGAAGGCTGAAAATGGAGTGATGCAGCTACAAGCCAAGGAATACCAAGGATTGCCAGCAACCACCAGAACCTCAGGGAGAGGGCTGGAACATGTTGTCCCTCAGAGCACTCAGAAGGAAGCAACGCTGCCAAAACCTTGGGTTTTGAACTTATGGCCTCCAGAACTGTGAGGGAATGAATGGCAATTTGTTACAACAGCCCTAGGAAACTAATACAGCAGGAAGAAAGCAAACAAATGGGAACTAATAGATTTTGTATTGCATTTGATAATTTGGAAAATAGCACTGGAGGGTTTTCCAGTTCTGCTAGAGAATTTGGGAGAATTAATACAACAGTATAAAACAAATAAACAAATTAAAAATAACTCTACGAAAAATAGTTAAATATTGGAAAGTCATTGTACACTACTTGACTTAGTAATAAACAGTATTTACATAGATAAAATGATGTACACATTGAATATGACTTAACCAAAAACTGTTAAAAATTCTAATGGTAGGATAGAGGTGGAGGTTGAAGAACTTTTATATCCTTATCTTTCATCATCCAGAGTCAATAAATAATGCCTCAGGTGTCTAAATTAAGAAATAGAAGAATATTGTTTACAAGCATGAGGGTACATTACAAGAGGAACAGTTATGAAATTGAAGGGTGTTACCTCTGGGAAGCAGAAGTGGGGGCAGGAGATTGCTTTATTTTATTATAAGCCTTGTAGTCCTATTTAATTCTTTAAAGCAAGAACATGCATAACTGATAAAATAGCAATTTCAAAATATTTCCTGCCTCAGTTTGAGGGGCTTTGGGCAAAGAATATGGGTTTTGAGGGTTACCTGTTCATTGTCTTCCACCTTTAACAGAGACATGGTGGAAAAGTGAAAAACTGATAATGGCTTCTTGAGTCAGGGTTCTCAGTGCAGTCCCCAGCAATGTAGGGATCCCTTCAGGACTTGTTAGAAATGCAGAGTCTCAGGCTCCACCCCTGGCCCACTGGCTCAGAGACTCTGGAGGTGGGACGCAGCCAGCTGGGTTTGACGCTATTGGGGGGGGGGCGGAATTTTCCTCTACTCTTCTTCCAGCTGGTCTAATAATCAAATCAACATGAGCCAGATTAACAAGAAAAAATACCAAATTTAATTACATACATATGGAAACCGCACATACATGGAAGATTCAGAGATACCACATACATAAGAGGTTCAATGACAAAAAGGGAAAATGAGGTGCATGTGGCAGTCAGAGACAAAGATGAATAAGGTGTCTTGGGGCTTCAGAGGGGAGGAAGTTCAGTGAAGGATGACAAGGGCAGATGTTCAGTAATTAGAAGTTTGCCCTACTCTATAGGTAGGTCATTAAATTTTTTTTTTCTGATAATAACTATGGGCAAGGCCCCAAATTGGTTTTAAAGAGAGCTACAGTTTCTGGTGGGCCCACAAGATCTTGAATGCCTTTGGCTCAAAATAATCTATGTGCCAAAGTGGCACATGTTGGGGAGGCCTGTTCTGGACCACTTCAACATACTCTCACATAATTTTGACGCAGGTCCCAGCTGGAAAAAGAGTTTCAGTTCACTGTTGAGTGGGAGCTAGTTCATGCCCATAAAAGCCAGAGGCATCACCCTTCTCTGGGTAGAAACTGACGCCCCAGCTATCTTGTGAAAACTTTGCATAAATATTAAAAACTTAGAAGTGTTCATTCCTTCTGACTCCGTGATCTCACTTCTAGAATTCTATATTACACATAGAATAAACTTTGCCCATAAAAGTATTCATCACTGTGTGATTTATAATAGTGAAATATTAGAGAAAACTTAAATTTCCAAATAATAGGTATTTAGTTAAATACATGTGGTTGAAAACATTTATGGAAGGCTTGAAGGAACATAGAGAATGCTTGTGAGTTAATGGAAAGAAGCAAGATTCAAAATTCTACATACGGAATGACCATAACTACGTGGAGAAAATTGGGAGTAAGAAGAGCAATCTGGAAGAAAATCCATGTGGATCCAAGGTGGTAGCAGAATAGGTTAAAACTACACTAACCTCCTCCTAGGGCCAAATGGAATTACAATGAAATTATAGAAAAATCACCCCAAATAACCAGCTGAACACTAACAGAAGAGAAGCCTTATAACCAAACACATACAGTAGAAATCACAACACTACAAGGACTGGTAGAGAGTGAGGAGGAGGCATGAGAGGGCTGACTGAGCTCCCACGGGTGGCTGCTGAAGTTCCACAGGGATATTTCAGCAGCCAGGGAGTTCCCACTGACAAGGGTGGGGTCTAAACCCCAAGATGGTCCTCAGCCTGTAGCACCAGAACTGGGAAAGGAACTTAAATAACATCTGGCTGTGAAAAGCAGCAAGGTTTTTGTCTACCAGGGACAGACGGCTAGAGACGTAGAGGGTCTCTTAAAGGGCCAACACATCAAATTTCATTTGCAGCCACCTACCCTGGGTTCTGGCAAAAGGAGGGAAGAGTGGACTAGATATGTGCGAGGAGACTCTGGGTTGATAGCTCTGGGAAGAGAGCTGAAGGGATAGCTGCTAGGATCCTTGTGCTGAGTTATCCCCATACAGCAAAAGCCATTCTTCTTGGGCAGAGCACTCCCCTCCAAGTGGCATCATCCTAAGAGAAAGCAACAGCTCCACCAGTAGGAATCTTTATCACCCCACCCTGTGAGGCTTAAGCTGGGCTTCAGAGGAGTACAGCCAGAGGCAATTTCAGTGTTTAAGCTTAACACAAAGCCTGCAGTCAAAGACAGATCCCTGGGAGCTCTGAGGCTTTAGCTGACCATCCCTCAGAATTGGTGCTGGTAAAAGCTGGCCTTGGTGCACAGCCTAGCTCTTTCTGTACACACCCAGACCCAGCAGAGAGAGCCACAAGCTGTTAGTTCCAAACAGGTTGCCCAGGGCCAGTTACAGGCAGTGTCTGACATAGGTTTGAACCAGAGTCTTAGCAGACCCAATACTTAGGTACAAACACAAAGAGGTAGCCAAAATGGGAAGACAGGCCCAAAATGAAAGAATGAGAGAACTCTCCTGAATGAGAACCAAATAAAAAGGAAACAAGTAATTTAGCAGATATAAAGTTTACATAAATGATTATAAGGATACTCAACAGCATGAAAAAAGAAACCACAGAAAGGACCAGTCAGATATAATAAAGAATGCAATATCTGAAATAAATAATACACTGGAAGGAATAAATAGTAGGTTAGATGAAGCAGAGGATCGAATCAGTGATTTGGAAGATGAGGTAAGAAAAAAGAAAACAAAACCCAAGCAGAACAGCCAAAAGAAAACAGAATTTTTAAAAATTGATGAGAGTTTAAGAAAACCTTTGGGACAACATGAAGCATTACAACATCCACATTGTGGGAATATCAGAGGAAGAGAGTGAGCAAGGGATCAAGAACCTATTTGAAGAAATAATGGCTGAAAACTTCCCTAATCTGGTGAAGGAAATAGACACACAAGTCCAGGAAGCACTGAGAGTCCCAAACAAGATGAATCCAAAGAAGCCCACACCAAGACACATCATAATTAAAATGACAAGGCTTAAAGACAAGGAGAGAATCTTTAAAGCCACAAGAGAAAAGCAGGTGTTATCTACAAGGTAGTACCAATTAGACTGTAATCTGATTTCTCAACACAAACATTTCAAGCCAGAAGAGAATTACATGAAATATTCAAGATGATGAAAAACAAGGACTTACAACCAAGGCTACTTTATCCAGCAAGACTATCATTTAAAATTGAAGGAGAAATAGTTTTCTAGACAAGAAAAAGCTAACAATTAAGGTAATTGTTAATACCAAACCAGTACTGCAACAAATGTTAAAAGAGCTTGCTTCAAGAAGAAGAAAGGGGAAAAAAGAAGAAAATAGTTTAAAAATAAAATGGCAATGAATATGTATCTATCAATAATAACTTTAAATATATATGGCTTAAATCTCCAATTAAAAGACATAGGGTAACTGAATGGATAAGAAAAGTAGACCCATAAATGTGCTTCCTCCAAGAGACCCATCTCAGATCAAAAGATA